GCCTGTCTCCACAATTTTCCGCTGACTCCGGCAGCTTCCAAATTGTCTCTCGCCCAAGCTGCCCAGCAAGCAGGCACTAAAAGGTTTTGCAAATGCACAGTAGTAAGTTTTCCTTTTCAAAGCACCTCTGAGCTTCAATGAAATCATGCTGGACGAACCTCAGACCACATTTTCTTCAGGAGGCTTAGTCATGCTGCAGGTATGTGGGTGACAAGGTGTGTCATGCATTTCTGCGTGGGGATGAGGAGCAGGGATAAATTGTGAAGTGAATCTTGTGTGCACAGAAATATATCTGAAGAGGACAGGATGGCTGCTCTCTGAAACTCAATAGCAATGCTCCCCTCATAAGCAGCACCAGCCAGGTGTTAGCAGACCACTGACTAAAGCTTGAAGTTAATTTTGTCCTGTTTCATCTAGTCAGCTTTAAATAAAAACACATGTAAATGACTACTGACTTTTGGCAGGTCCAGAGAAGGACGGGATGAAGCAGACAATTAGCTCCAATCCAAAACACTGAAAATATATATATTTACACTTGAAGTTGGTGGCTCAAGTGCACTTTTCACGGGTAATTATGCAACATTGGCTCCTCTTCTGCAGTTCAGGTTGGATATGTTGCGGATGAAAAATGCCTTGTGTGGGTGGCAAAGCATGACAAGGGCATGGGCAGGGACCTTGTAATTCCTGTATTTCCATTGTGGATTTGGTCTGGTCTGAATCATTCCTGTCTGCAAATTAGCTGCCTACAGATGTATAGCGCTATCACACTAAGCGTGCCAGCCATCTGACATAGAGGGAAGGGTGGATGGATGGGTTGACATCAGCAACCCATGGGTTGACATCAGCAAACATTTGCAAAATAACCTCAGCAAAAAGAACAAAGCGAATTGAAAAAATACCTTGTCCATTGAATTGGGCAGAAAAAAGAAAAAAGCCAGATCGGAGCTGATGTACTCCACCAAGTCCTGAATCCTGGCCTGTGGCATAACAGTTACATCTTCATTAGTAAAATAAGCACTGCCAGGATCCATTCTGGCTATGAAGCCAACTGACAAGTGCTGGCCACATCCAGGCTACTAAACTCTTTCGCCCCTGATACAGAGGGGCTGCATCCAAGCTGCGGATTTGGAATGGTCTCTGGCCAGCGTCAATACCTGTGCAAACTGTAACCAAGCCCTGGGCTTGTTGAAGTGGGTCAAAACCATACCAGGGAAGGTCTGAACAATACAGCACTGAGGATGGTGGAGCCCTCATGCCCCGTCTTTGCCCTGGCATGGCACAGTTGGTTTAGGTGATCCCAGGGTGAATCCAGCAGCACAAATGTGCCAAAGAAGTTGCCCACTGATCTTGTGATGTGAATAAATACGGACTCAACCTTGTCCATGGCAGTTTGAAAAACCCCTCAAGCAGAATCTTCTGGCGAGAAGGCAAGACATGGTATAACTAACCTACAAGGGAGAAGCTGAGGCGTTAAAAATCAAGTGAAACCAAATCAAGTCACTGACCATCCTGCCAAAAATAAAAGGGACCCTGGCCAAAAAAAAAAACAAACCCAAAACAGGAGGCAAAGTCTAGACTCTTAGCATTGAGAGTAGTACCAATAAAGTGCTGGGGGTAATTTTGCTCCCCATGCTTTTGGCTTGGCAAAAGGCGCTGTTTGGCAACAAGATCACAGATAATCCCAAGAGGAAATGGTCACCACACCAAACTGTCCACCATGAACTCGCTGGGTGTAGTGGCAGAGCACGTGTTTTTACGTTAAGGCTGTAATGAATTCCTTCAAAGGGACATAGCTCTTCAGGGTTGACACAGGCTCTCACTGGAAATCTTTTGCTAAATCAAGATGCCAGCGGATATCATTCAAAGAAAGGACTAAGAGCGGAGGCAGAAAGTTTATGCAACTGAGCGTAATGAAACAGTCTTAACACACAGGGGAGGCACCTGCCTTCATTGTTATCTGTACTACGAGCCACGAAGAAGGAGGACTTTGGAGCAGGCGTGTGTCAAGCCCTTAGTCAAGCTGGTTTGGCTGTGAGAAATTAGCACTGCATTGAGAGGTAAGGTCACTTCTAGAGTGTTTTGCCCCTCTGCTCCCGTAACGGGATGGAGAGGTCGGCTGTTGGTGTGGCGGTCTGGAGCAAGGGTCCTGTTCCTGAGGGAAGGCAGGCTGCAGATGCTCATGAGAGGCAACACTGAGGGGTCTCCTCCTCAACTCCTGATGACTGTGCCTCGGCTCGTTGATTCATTTCACTCTCCTGGTGTGCAGCAACAGGGTCCGGCTGTTCAGTGGGGCCAGAGACTGGGATCACATCTCCAAGTCAGATGTCAAGGTTGATGAGTTTGGGGAAGGGGGACCTTCTCATGGTGCTTTTGAAAATGAGGACGCTACCTCCTGGAGTAAAGGTCCCCGAGGAACTGCAGGGTTGTTTACCATCCATTCCTTTCTCATGCTTATGCCAGTGAAATGCAGATGTGCAGAGGAGAGCTGTTCATGGAAGGACTAAGGAGAGTCTTTACACAGGACTTGAGTCTCAGGGAACTGGATCAGAGTAAATCTACGCTAGCATTAAAGGTAAGTCAAAAGAAAGTCCTGGGAGGAGAAATGCAGGCCTGTTGCTGGAGGATGGGCACCTCTTGTGTTTTTATGACTCAGGAGCTGGGGACAGCAAGTTCACTTCACAAATTACCTCTTTTTATGGAGACAGCATACTGATTAGGGAAGAAATAGGGTGAAAAGTTAGTAGGACACTGGAGAAGGGACTGGTTATGGGACAGAGACAATCGAGAAAGGAAATGAAAGCTTTTCACAAATATATATAAGTGTGTGTACATATATATGTTTATGTGCCCAGTAAACAAGGGATTGGGAATTTAGATAGGGGATGACAAGACAAAATCCCTCCCTTTGCATGAAAATGTGACCATCATATTGGTTGTAATCAGAGCCCAGAAACATTTGCCTGAAATGGAGTTTGACTGGGAATTACAGTACCAGTGACAATTTGGCTTCTTATAAACTTTGCCGTGTGTCTATAGTTTGGCGTGAATGAGTCCTGCCCTCCTTAAAAGGGACAGACACCAGTTAAAAGTTTTCTTTACAAAACAAAAGGAAACAACTGAAGAAATCCCAATGTTTTCTCAGAACACTGCAAAGGATCACTGATTGAAAAAAATGTTTCTCTTCAGGTATATTCAGGCGAAGAAAGCATTCAGCTTCTTTAAACTGTTATATAAAATTGGTACTAGGTTTTTTAAATACTACTATAATTAAAAAAACCAACTGATTCCTCAAATTAAAAAAAAAATCATAATTAAAAAATAGCCCCCCATGCTGATCTTCTCTTCAGAATAGGTCAGCATGGGAGTTTTGCACCCTAGACAGTTACAGTATTTCTGGAATAAAAAATTGCAATTACACACAGAAAATACTACAGCATTCACTTAAAAATATCTCCTTTTGTTGTTGTTGTTTTTCCCCTCCCAAGTAGAGGGATGGTGGGATTGAAAAGATGCCCTGAAACGGGAATATTCCTTTAAAGGAGCAATACTCTCGAAACGGAAAAGGGTGTTGGATAGGCGCAAACCCGTGCTATAACTCGAAAGAAGAGATTCCAGCACAGAAACAGAATTCGAGAGATGTGAATGTTCAGACACCGAGCGGGTTATTTGGAAATGTCAAGACAACCACACAGCCCTCGGCAGGTGACCATCTAGGCTTTGCCATCATCGGAGGTGGCAGCATCTCCTTGCGGTGAGAAGGCTAAGCTAAACCACGATGCTCTCGCTACGCTCTTGAATTTCCTCTGGTGTTGTTTCTCGCCATGTACTTACAGTAGAGGGTGACACAAGACAGTTTTTTTATCAGCAGTTCCCCACATGTACCGAGTTGAAGAATTCTCAGCTAAATCACAACAACAACATCAACAAAAATACAAAGCACCAAATCATCTCGAGACGTGAGTCAGTTTACAGGTTATTACCGTTTGAAGAAGTTTGTTGGTTGTTTTGTTGTTGTTTGTTTGTTTGTTTTATCCCGATTTTCATGTTTTGTTTTCCTTAAAAACAAAACAAAACAAAACAAAAATCAAAACCCAAAAGCCCCAAAATGGAACGAAGGATGCTTTACAATCACTTTAAGGCTCGCACTGAATGAGACATGACAGGTCTTACATGAGATTACAAATAATACATGTATGCCTTTCACAGCCTTAAAATGATACAGTAGGTCAAATTATTTTGCCAGTCACTGATCAAGTATTGTGCCTTTAAATTGACTCGCTTTTTGCTACTATGCTGAGTTTTATTATTACTGAAATAGTTATTAGATATGTGTAAATGTACTTTAGTATAATGTTTTTGGTATATAATTTCAATGTTTGCAGATTTCTTCCAGAAATCAAGGTGGCAGGCCTTATTCTGGGCTCAGACAGTTGTCATTTGCTCCACTGAAGACAGTGGTGCTTTAGCGTGTGCAATTGTTCGAAACAAGAGCAGATACCATATTAATCTGGTGCAAACTGACCATTAAGCATGGCCCATTTACACGAGGAAAACGGTTACATGGTGGGATCGCGTTTATAACATGACTCGGTCAAGGCTCGCAGGCTTGGCCAAATGGTGTTATAAATGCATTGCCAAATTGAGTTACAGACCTGATTTTGTCTTTCAGTTGTTGGAAAAATCAGACTCCATTGGGGGTGTCTTGGCTTTGCTTGCTTTTCTTTAGACATTTGGGGTTTTTTCTGCTAAATCCAATAAGAGCAACGAGATTTTTTTCATACATTTCTCTCTTTTTGTTGTTGTTGTTCATTTTTTTCTTTTTTTTTTTTTTTAATTTTAAGGTTTGTATTTCGGTTGTTTGTTTGTTGTTTTTTTTTTTTTTCCTGGCATATAATCATCAAAGAGTTTTGCATGAGGAAGGTGACAGTACTTAATGAAACTCAGCACCTAAGGGCATAAGGCAGTTGTAGGTTTGTTTGTTTGTTTTTTTTATTTTTCAATCAGCACCAATCCCATAAATAATGTTCTACACTTGGTGTACGGTATAAAACTGATGTGGAGATGCCTCCTTCTCCACCTGTGAATCCTAGGTGTGGAAGTTGAAATACTGTTTCTTGTGTGTAAAAAACAAAAGAAAAGTTTTTCTTTTTGTTTTTACTTACAAAACATAGAGAATATCTTTTTTTTTTTTTTTTTATACATACAGCAACCAGAAAGAAAGCTTATCTGAAGGTTTGTGTTTGTTTCATGATTTGTGTTTACCGTAAACAAAAATAAGGTCCCCTCTTTTACTTTTGCTTTAAGGAGCTTTAAAGTGAAGATTCATATTGTAGCAACTCATATAAGAGAGGTCCATCTCTATACCTAATACCTACAGCTGTGGGGGTGACATATTGGAGGATGTTGATAGTTCTTCTTAACCTCCTGTCTACAAAATGAGCATCCCATGCAGGGTATCTTTTTCTTGGGATGTCAATCTTAATGAGAGGCCCCTCGGGGGGATAGGGTCGCCCAGATGGAGTAGATGGTACCATTGCTCTCACCTGGAAAACGGGCAAGCAAGTGTCAGCTGTGAGTTCCTCCTGTTGCTCCGTGACCGCTCTGGTGGGCGTAGCCTGGGCCCCCCGGTACCCAGGGGTTTGGGGTGCCATGGGCTCAACATCGGGGGGCAAAGGAATGCCCCAGAGCAGCTCGGCGCAACAGGAGCTGACAAGGATCTTAGCTCTTGGCCCCATGGGATGCAGCACACCATAATATAACAGCATCAAAGCTATCCCAGCAGCAAAGCTAAGAAAGACACAACACAGTGCTGGCACGGCATATGAGTCAGTAGTGTCAGGATCTCTGTAAAAATACCAAAGGAGCGTCAAGGCAGCGTTCTCCGTCAGGACTACCGTGTAATACGCAAACATTCTGTATCGAGTCCGCCCTTCCTTGACATTAAACCAGCAGAAAATGTACACAATCCCTACCACCATGTTGAAGAGGATCTCCTCCCACTTAGACATGCAGAAATCTGTCCCACCATGGATGATCCAGAAAGCCATGGCACACCAATGGACCACTACAAAGATCCCAAAGTAGAGCTGGAAGATGGAAGCAAAGAGAGCAAAAGAAAGAACTCGGGATGAGATGGTGAAGAGGCGCCAGAAGAGATGGATGAGGGCCCCTCTGTAGCTCATACTCTTCTTGTCGTCCCTAGAGTCCCGAAGAAGCTTGTGATAGGAGGCTAGCACCCAAGCCAGGGACATCAGGGAGGCCACAGAGGACACACCTGCCGGAAGACACACAGATCCACTGAGTTAGACAGGAGGTTTGGTTGAAAACATCATCTGCTCACTAAATTATTGCATCTGGGGCAGGCTCGGTAGCCCAAAGGTTCAACACACGTCACGTTGTCCTTACAGTCTGGAGGAGAGAAATACAGAAATATCAGTGTGGGAATTGGAAACGATGCTGTATTCAGGAGTTCTCTGACACAGGACATTATGCTTATCTTCATGAGCTGTTGGCTCTGCCACCCCACCCCAGCTCTTCTCTTCTTACAGGCAACAGCCTCTGTCCTCAACCTGATTAGATCCACATTTGAGAATTAGAAATCCAGATCCCATCTAAATGCTGTAGCCCAAGTATGAAGGTTATTTTCTGCAGAGAGAGGTCTATCTTGGAGTGCACCATTGCAAGAGTGGGACATCTATATTCCTTGTAACTGCATGGATCCCTTTTTATTCAAAAATACTTTCATACAAGAAACATTCACATTGACTTGTACTTGATTCTGCCTTAATCAAGAATCCCCGTTTGCATTCACCTTTAGGAAAAATGGGCAGTTGGTCAGATTTTTCACCCTGTGGACCCCCTCAGATGAATATATAAGTAGAGGGAACATGAAGACTCAACGATACCCTCCGAATGGCCCCAAAACAAAGAATCTGATCCCGCCAGCAATGCCCCTGCCCTGTTTCCAGGGTGGACTGAAGACCTACATTGGAGATAGCTTATCTTCAGCCTTGTCTCCTGGATGGACCACAGATCCAAGTCTCAGTCATGTCTCCAACCCTGTCTCATTCTGTGCATGGTGAGAACCCCTGAAGAGACCTTGGATCTGGTCCCTCCCATTGCCTTGTCTGGGACTGCTGAGGGAGCCATTACCAGATGCAGCTCTGCCCAGTGCACTCAGACCTTGCGGTACTGCTCCCATCAGTGAGGGCGTTGCCTGTGCTGGGGTCACCCTCGGTTCCCAATTCATGCCCCTGCACCCTGGCATGGGGCAGGCACCCTATGATACCCCAAAGGGGCCTCATCTTATTCACCATCACAACCAACAATTAAACTGTTTGCCTCAAAGGATAAAATAGTGCCCCACCACACTTCAGGAGCTTTTAAAAATATAATACCATTCATTATCGCAAGGGTAAGTTGAACAATTCTTGGAGCAAAGCATCATAATAAAAATTAATTGACATATTCCTGGGAAAAGAAAAGGCCACTGGCATCTTATTCCTTTCTTCCCACGGCTGCTCAACTACTCTGCAGATGAGGGAACAGATGATGGACCAAGATCCATGTTTGGGAAGCTCAGTAATTTGGTAGCCATGATTTGATTTGGCCTTGGCCAAAGATTTGTCTGGGAGCATTGCCTAAGAAATCTAAAGGAAAAATGCTAATGATTTCAAGCAAAACAAACAAGAACAAACACCCCTCCATCTCGGATGTGTAACATACAGGACGATAGGTCCAGCTCTTTTTTTTTGCTTTTACTACTTTAAGGAAACCCAAGGAACAGCTTGCTGCACCTGCTCAGGGTTAAAAAGCTACAAAGTCTGAAAACCCTAAATTTCTTCTTCTCCTGTTTTCTTCTCATTTTTCCCTCTGCCTGGGAGGGCCTGGTTCCAAGGGGGATAGGAAGAAGTTCCACTGGCTTTTCAGAACTCACTCTAGAGACTTTATCGTCTTCTTTTTGAGGAGCCCACCCCACAGCCCAGTGGTGTTAGATTTTCCCCCTTCCAGCCTAGCTACGTCTGGAGGGGAGGTGATGGAGAAGGTGGCCAGGAAGGATAGTAGGCATCCACCTCTGACCCTCATTGAAATTCTCCCAGACCAAAACTACGTCTTTGCATCAGCTCTCAAGTACCTCTCTGAATACCTTGCCTTTGGGCTTACACATGCATTAGCATTTCAGACTGAGTTTTAAAAAACAACAAGCCACAAACCAGTAAGACCAATGGCCTTACCAAAGAGGGAAGCTTTAGGCCACCATCTTTAAGAAAATTACAATTTTCCCTAAGTTCTAAATCCTCAATAAGAAACACTTGCATATCGGACTTGGGGACTCTAATGGATGGAAACTTCTGAAAGTGAATAGCCTCAGCCCCAAACAGGTGTAGATTAGATTTATTTTTAACGTACCAGATGTGTTACATTTTTAGTAGACATAATTAACAGTTTTGGAAGACTGTGCAATCCCACACAATTCTTCAGGTAAGTGATGCTCTGTGTATAAGTGCTGCTTGTTGCAGTACCTTCCAGATTTTCAGTTTTAAAACTTTCCGTAATTAACAGGAAAAAACCCCAACATATGTATTGTCTTATTTTAGTGCTGTTACACTAGAAATTTGTATGGCATTAGATGTACCTGTGTATTGAAACTTAAGCACTGCCAACCCACAAGAGACAGATGTGTCACACTGGCTTAAAAATGTTTCTGTTGGGTTCATTTATTCTAGAATAGAGAGAGGAATAAAACACAGCAGAAACAAAACCCCAGTATACACATAAAGGCTTTTCCCACTGTACTGTTTTCAGTGCAGAAACCTACACTAATCAGTCTTTACTGAAATTGCCTAGAGCTGGCTGAGTGTATGTGTGTTGAGTCACTCACAGTGCACGGTACTGTGCCTGCTGATAGTCATCTGAACATCTCCTTGAGTCAACAGAGAGAGGCAGACACCCCCAGAAAGTGATTCACCCTGTCCTAAGATCCATGTGTGGGACAGGGAGGGGTTGACTCATGCTCCCAAAGTGTCTGACTCCATCCCTTGACAGCGGAGTGTGGGGACTTGCACACACCAGTAGTCAGGCGGGATGAGTCCTACGCTTACAAAATAGTTTGTTGCCTCCTCATTTGCACTAATGTCTGAGGGGGGGAATGAAGTATCTCTAGACATGTTGACATATTCCTGATGTTGTTTAAAAACTCACAACTCTGTGGTGAATGTGAATTTTGGCATCCTAGTGATAAGCAGGATCTGAACCTGCATGTCAGGGGGCTGCGATCAGTAGGTGGACGCCAACAGGAACCATGGAGCGGTATAAACATTTTTCTCCAGTACTTCTTACTGTGTCATCGCAGAAATTATTCGCTAGCTATTTCATACAGGCTTAAATGACAAAGCATGCCTTGGCTTTTGTCATCTTGACGATGAGTTTCTCATTCCCATCTTTTCCTATTACTTCTAGCCTGTGACATCTTCATATAATGTACTGTTTTCACAGACTGTGGGATAAATGGTTCTTTTCTTTTCCACTTCTCCAGGCCTTATTTCTAAACAACTATCGAGATCTCTCCAATTATATCCAGAACAATAAGCCCTGTTACGTTAGATCATATGGGAAGTATTTTTTTTTTTTACTTTGATTTTGACTTTTGCACATGGTGACTGACGCACCTTCATCCAGCATGAGTGGGTTTCAACTCCCTTCCAAGGTTTGTTTATCAAAGGGTTGGGACTGGCTTAAAACTGAAGTCACTTCAAAAAACCCACTCCCACTCCTCCCACCCTGTGCTTAGTCTTGGGAGTAGAAAATAGCCGCCATGCACTGCCACGTCTCTGTGGGCATTCTTAAGCCAGGATGACATCAGCCACCATGGGGCTGGAAGCCCTGTGGCTGCATCTGTGGTTTCTGTCCCCCACCTGCCCCTAACTAGTCAGACTGGCATAGACTGGGGTCATCTTCAAACTCTCTGCACCGGGCTGTAGAACAGCCCTTGAACTCCTCCTATCACCTGCTAGAAGAACAGAGTGACTCACAGGCTGTAGTCACCACCATTGAGGAGTCAAGCCCATGTGACACATCACAAGAATTAGTCCCCCAGATCCCTTTAGTAATGTGCCCTGAAGTCCTTACGGTGAGACATCTCCTAACGTACAGTCATTACGGTGAGGTAGAGCTTTATAATATCCTCATTTGACAGAAGTACTAAGATTTGAAGGATTTATCCAAGGTCTCATATAAAATCCATGCTAAAGCAGGGAATAGTTCTCTTTCCTTTCACGTCACAGTACACCTTACATTTCAGACAGGAGTCAGCTCCTACTGTAGAGAGTCACCTCGGGGTGCCCATGGGTGAGTGATGTCTCTTACTTTACTCAATAGAGAATTCAGGCTTAATGCAACCATCACAGATGGGAATCCAGCAACATTTGAGATGCTCTAGGATATCCCAGACCTCCATGTGGAGCTGGCAGATTTGACAAACTTGCATACAGAAGACGAGAACACTTTTGAGCTGGGAGCTGGACTGAGGCAGGGTACTTGGGGCTTCTCAAATGACACTAAGCAAAAGTCAACCAAATTGTTTCCCGAGTCATTACAGCCAGTGGAGTCAGAGCTGCACGTAGGTCATTCGTTAGACCCTCCGGCTGTGTTGCCTACATCTCCATTGAACACAAGGGGAGCCTGGACACACCCACCACGTGGAGACACCTCCATCGAAGACTCCTTGTTTAGGTGTCTGAATCTGGAGCTGAACTCACCAGCCATCTTGAACTGCCTTGATGCTGACTTCTTGCCTTATAATTCCACCTTTCTCAGGGGGAGCTAATGAACAGTCCTCAGCGGTAAACACATGGCACGGAGACTAAGCAACAGTAAATGGTGAAAAGAAATGAGAAAGCAGCGGGAAATAAGGCAGCTATATAAAAGGCTAAACTTCCTGAGAAGAGAGTCAGACCAAGGAATAGAGTCTTTGAGAAGGGGAAACAAGAGCCATTGCCTGGGATCACGAAAACATGAGTGGACTAGAGTATAATGTGGGTAGCCATCTGATACCAGAGGAGAGGGGCATGAACCACTCTGAGGTCAAGGGAAGCTCCTGGAGCCTTGCTGATGCTTGCAGGGGCAGGCTGAATTTCAGCCTGTTTTGGTTTTCATCCTCTAGTTCCTACTGATGTCCCAGAAAAAAGAAAAGGCAGTCTCAGAAATGTAACGAGGGTCTTTGAAAAATCCACATCCACAAGAGAGACTCAAAGCAATGACTGCCCTTAAATTGCC